TGACTTGTGTCACCAAATAGAAAGCATCTAATGCTTTGCATGTTAATCAGTCTTGTGTGGAGATCAAAAGCTTTCTTACGAGACTTATGACCACAAAAGACGCGTATGGCATCGTCCACGGTATCTTCCTGCATAAGATCCTCCGTCCGTGGATTCTCATTTTCATCCGATGAGCTAGAGCTCTCGAAAATCGGGTCGTTTAAATCAATAACCTCTTCAATATCATCTTCTACAATCATCTCGTCATCCACGAGATCTTCCACTTTAGATGGAGACGGCGGAGTACGTTTGTCTTGCATCTATTGGAAAAATCACAATTAATTAGCTGTTTAAGTGCACCGATTGCATCAACGTTATTTTGATTTTAAGTGAGATTTAAAACTCTTTCTGTCTCTATCTCTTTTTGGCTTATAAAATAGAGTTTTAAGTCTAACTTAAAGTCAAAGTAACATTGGTGCAACTAGGCCTAAATCAATTAGCAAAGCTAGTACTGACCATCACGAAATAAATGCGAGCGAGCGAATAAAAATATCTTTGATCTTCCTGAAGCCCTGTGGCACGTTAAAATGTATTGGAGCACGTGTTCGCAGCACGTGGCCCTCAAACAACACTGACAATCTGTGACATTGATTAGAACAGCCGGAATGGAATTTTTCTGAAGTGTTTCTAAAGTGCAGTTACAACGGACAAAATAATATGGAAGTTTTACCGGGAAGTTATCCCGGAAGTTTGCTGCGCGCTAACGCCCTCTCGACAAATTTGGCGGCTAAAATTCAATTTAGAGAATCCAGATTAAACGGGGAATAGTTTTATTTAATTTTACTGTTATAAATTCTCGTTGTAATTCTAATTTTTTCCTTATTACAAAGATTGTACGTAATGCGTCTTAATTTTAAGTAATACAATAATCAAATGCAAATAATTGCAAATGCTGTGGCTTAGGGGCCGATTCTGTAACTCTAACGTGACATCGTCGATATCATTGCGTAGATATGTAGAGTAAAAAAGCTGCGCAATGACATCAACGACTGTCGTTAAAGAGTTACAGAATCGGCCTCTAAATATTAAATATTTCTATATAGGAGTGAAATAGAAGAATGTACATGCTATTCAACTTTTATTCAACAACTATATTAAGCTTATTTTCAAGGAAAACGATGCAACAAACATCGCGTAACAAGTTTTCTGTACATATTTGAACTTTATATTAATATTTATATATTAATATATT